AGATCTCCTTTAGGACCAACCTTGCCGTCTTGTCCCTTAGCTCCAGTCTCTCCTCTTATTCCTTTCTCTCCTCTATTCCCTTGTGGTCCACCTGCGCCAACATCTCCTTTGTCTCCTTTGATACTAGCTCCAACGTCACCTTTTATTCCTTTAGATCCAGTTACACCTGTTGATCCGACAGTTCCTGAAAGCAAAGAATGAGGTCTTTAGGTTAGTCTCTGTAACAGGGGCTATATTATCATTTGATCAAGAGYAAAATGCTTGGTCTGTTTACATTCAATTATCTTCTCATGCACTACTTCTAAATAAACAAATAAAACTCTAGGATTATTTTAAGTAATACAATAAATTATTTTTTAAGAGCTCAGCACCATTTCTACCTTTTTCTCCTTTCTCTCCKGTGTTTCCTCTTTGCCCCTGATCTCCTTGTTTTCCCTCTTGTCCCTTATCTCCTTTTGGACCTCTTTCCCCAACCACTCCTTTTGTTCCTAAGTCTCCAACATTTCCTTTATCGCCTTTTAGACCTCTGTCCCCTTGCAGTCCTCTGTCCCCTGTTTCTCCTTTCTGTCCTTGTTGACCGGTGGAACCGTTATTCCCCTTTTCGCCTTGTGTACCTTGTTGACCTTTTGGTCCTTCTGATCCTCGCAGTCCTTTAGTACCGTTGACACCTTTTTCACCTTGGAGGCCCTCTTTTCCCCKGTCACCTTTCACCCCTCTCGGTCCTTGGTCGCCCTTTAAACCTTTTTCTCCCGTTTTTCCAGTTTTTCCTTGGTCGCCTTTCAGTCCTTGTTGGCCTGTTGGTCCTATTTGTCCCTTTTCGCCTTTGATTCCTATTTCTCCTGTATTGCCTTTGGGACCCATCTCACCTATAAAACACAAGGATTGATYAAAATTATACTTTGTTTGGAAACTCAGCGCTGCTTTTCTTAATGAAACTAAGCGTAATCCAAACCTTTAGGTCCAGTTTTTCCGGTTGGCCCGCTCTCCCCGACATTTCCGACAGGTCCAAGATCGCCTTTATCTCCTTTCAATCCTGTCTCCCCAACAAATCCTCGTTTTCCTCTTACGCCTCTGGGGCCAACCTTTCCTGGTTCTCCTTGGATGCCCTTTTCACCTCGTTCTCCAGGTGCTCCAGCTCTTCCCACAATTCCTGGTACACCAACGGGACCCGGATCTCCTATACCCCTTGGCCCTCTTGGGCCCATGAGTCCAGATGTTCCTTTTTTCCCCGGGGGACCTTGTGGACATGGATTCTTGCAATCACTCGCCTCGGTTTTGATTGATGTCATTCTCAAGAAGGCATCGTTGTTACGTTTAGAGCGAAAAAGTTTCTTTAAATTGTGCATCAAATCATCTGAAAAAAGGTGTTCATTTAATTAGCTATTGAAAACCTTTTAAGAAAGAAAAGGGATCGGGTGGAAAGAAGGAAAGGAAAAAGATAAAATAGGAAAGGAAGGAAAATAAAAACGAAGGATAAAAAAGAAAGTGAAAAGAAAATAGGAAGAAAAAGGAAAAGACGAATTAAATAAACATCCAGGTAYTGCTTAAATAATATTAATTACTTACCTTTTAAATTAGTTTTTACTTAGAAGTTTATATATTGATATTACTATATATTTTATACATTTATGTCATTATATACTATACTATACTATGTTATATTTCTATTCATGTAAWTTTATCATTTTTACGCGACTTGAATTTGTGAAAGGCCCATTGGCCCTCTTCTTCGGTCGTTTCATACAAGGCTCGTAATTTACCTATWACGCGTGTWYTTATATAATTTTATCATTGTAATTTCTATTTGTGCAATTTATTCAATTTAATGATTTGGTTAATTTCTGCGCATATGAACATATCCACATGAAATATGCGCATTATAAATATTAAATTATTATTAATTTTTAATTCGAGCCATTTTTTTTCTTCTTTTATGCTTGTTTTTGTTTTGTTTTGTCTTTGTCTTTTATGTTTCGTTTGTCCGCATATAGTAATTTGAGCTCAGCAAGCTAAGAGACCCCGAGTCAGCGCAACGGGAGAATTCTTTCAACATCATTCTCTAGACACGTAATTCGAATACTCTGTTGAGTGACTAAGGTATATCTAATTTAAGAAACTTGAGTTAAGTTAAATGCCCATASATTAAATGTTGGAAAAAAATCAAGGAAGTACTCTGTCAGATTTCCGCTCCGATCTTTCAGACAAATGTGTGTATGCAGGCTTAAAACAGCGCTTGTTTTGCAAATATGGGCAAAATCTCCTGTTTGTCATGAGGTGCACTTATTTACCTTTTAACTTGAATAAATTRAATACTTAATTATCGTCCGTCTTCTGTTTAAATATTATTTTTTCTGGCTAAAGTCACAAGATTTTTGAAGATTGTTTATTCAACTACACTTCAATGCATATCATTTTGAGGTATTAGAAATAAATTTCAAAAGTTGCAGTATACATATTTGAAGTCCATACTCCTGGAAATCTATCGATGACTTGTATTGATATGGTACCTTCATAAACCTTGACCTACTTTTTTTTCCTGATTATGCTCCAGATGAAATTACCAGCAAACGGAGTCGTTATTAACGTTTACTTAGCGAAGGAGCTTGAGAACAAACTACCCATTTGAACAATTAAACCAGTTTTTTTACCTTTGTCAAGCTTTTTCCACCAAAGGTCTTTGATATCCTTTTCAAGTTTTTCAAAATACAAATTATTGTTTTTCTGGACAGTTTCAAGTCTGATAAGCAACGCCAAACAACCCAATAACGCTATGCTGGCAAGTACCAAGGGTGGCTTAGACGAAATTTGGTGCCTTCTAACGGAGGGCTCAGAGGGAATCGTAGCTGACCTGTTTTCTTCCGACATTTTTAGCAGGCGAATCTCGTGAAGAAGTGATTCGAAGAGTCTGATTCTGTTTGTTAACGTTAAGTTGTTATGACTAGTTTTATACTTAATAGTTTGCGCATGTCAAAACATTTTGCTGGAGTTCTGCCTTTACTTGTAGCACCTTTGCCCCTCTCCAGGATATCTGACATTTGTTTCATTATTGTGAGGTTATCAAGATCACTCTGGACAGAAGAAAGAAAAGAAAGGACAGGAAAGCAAAGGAAACGAAAAGAAGTGAAAGAAAATGAAACATTTCTGGCTTTTTTCATCTTGCAAATGAAAATACTGATGTACGTCCTGCGGTCTTTTCACCMGGAAGAAAGATCCTCAGCAGCGGCAAGCCTTTTTCAGTTCCTGTGTGATCAATGAATTATATCCAGCCTCAGGAGAAATACTTTCTTGGTCGTCTAAACTTTCTTTTTCTTTGAGCAGAGCTTTTCTCCTCCCGTTATCGTTATCACTATCACCGTTATCGTTATCACCTTTCTCTTTTATACCCTCCACATTCCTCATACCTTTATTAACTCTTTTACTTCCAAACACTCATACTCCATAGTCACCCATACGTACTCCTTAACATTTTACCCTCGCACCAAAAAACCTTTTCCCCTCCYCTCCTACCTTGCTTGGGYCCGAATACTTGTGTTTTACACAGTATTCTCGGATTTTTTCCGAGATTCTATGATGTAAAATTAATAGTTTGAAACCAAGAGTATAGCATAGTGCTTGCCGTGACTGCTACGACAGCCAATTTTACTCTGCCTCATCCCGTGGGGGAAATAAATTTGCCCACTATTCTAATAAATTACTGGACACCGGCTTTAGCTATAATTATGATCGTTGCTTGGAGGCCAATTAGAAGAAAAGCATTTCGTTTTATGCAGTTCAAGCGAACGTCCTCAAGTTTTAAGAGATGTCGAGAGCTAAAACAATAGAGCAGTTGATTTAGTTGTGTAATGTATTAAGTGTTGCGTAGTACATGGTAGGAAGTTTGTGGATGGGCGAGGAGCCAAAACCAGAGATATCGGGTATATACGTATAGAGAAAATGTTACTTAGTGGCCGTTGGGTCGATCAATACTCCATTTTACAGTTTTGTTCGGTAACCACTGGCGAATAATAGTTGCAAGTCGAGGTTGGAGTTTCCACGTCTAGCAAAGCTATACTTTTTATCTTGCGCGGTAACTTCAATTTGGGCTTGGAACTRTTATTCGTGGTCACCGAATTAACGGRACTGTAAAATGGCGGAGTAATAGGCTTAGACTATAAGTTCTGGGGTAACTGACCATCACCACCACTACCACCCACTTACCCGTACCATTAAAAATCCAACTWCAATAGCAAACTCTAAACAACCCCACTACTACCAGCAACCATAAATAATTGTTTTGACCCCTTGGTAGTAGTTGGAGTTTCAGTGGAAGAATGTCTACAATGAATAGTCTGGCGGTGACTTGAAGTCGCGTACGGTACACGATGATCCGGATTAAGGTAAGAATTAAAGTATCACTACTTTAAACCATCCAATGGCATACTGTAATACTTATTGCAATTGGCTACTGCAATGAAAAAGATTAAAGTAAAGATGATATTTTTGGTGCATATTCTTGACTGAATTGTTTGATGATAATTGGGTTTCCTGTKTTATTACGAAAACCAAGTGTAACAGTGGTCATCGTCATATTTTTAGTCATCAATTTCGATTTTTTTTTACCGAAGCTGTAAGAGGGAAGATAGAAATAAAGTCCTAATACATTACTGAATCAGTTAAAAAAAAAAAAAAAAAACACTCTAAAATCAAATTCACTAAAGTTTAATAGCATCCATTATATATTTCAGGTTAGATGTCAGGAACAAATATTTTCTTTTGTAATAATAATCTATTGTATTTTGTATGCATTATATTTAGAGTAGGATTGATGACAGAAATAAAGTCGCTTAAAATATATTTTTTGTCTTCAACGTTCCTCGTAGTTTTAAACTGTTGCCCTGGTTTACTTGATTAGAAACAGTGAACTGAACGTTAAAAATACCAAGCAACACTCAACGATCATAAACATTATTTATGAGTGAATGTTTAACAGGTTTAAAGAATAAGAAATACTTAATTACAGTAAACCTTCAAAGATCTTAGACTGTAGGAGGTTACAATAATTTAAAAGAAAAAAGAAYAGAAGAAAAATAGTATTCAGAATGTTATATAGAAGTTATATTTTAGGATTTGGAGTTTTGTGTGCGATGCATGATGGATATTCAAACGCGTCTGCCAATTATTTCGCGCTCTTTTTTATGGCGCGAAAAGTGTGCGGTGCGTGGCGACCGTGGCAGCCGCCAACTTCTCTATAAAGAATGTAGCTTGAACTTTTTGGACCATTTGCTTTCTGTGCTCCGTTGAGCAAAGACGTTGACTTGAGTTTGGCAAATTTTTACCATGTTTTATCCTCTTTGCAAGGTCATAAAGAAGACCAACAAGATGACTTCGATTGAGGTAAGTTTTTATGGATTTAAAGTGTTGTTTTTCGGACAAATTCCTTTGAAATTAAGACTCGGGGGTAATTTTCGAATAGGTCACTTCAAAACGATCATTCTCTTGAATTTCTAACTTTACTAGAAATAAAATAACTGGTAAGATTTTGTCTTTTCTAGTTTAAATATATTTGCATTTATTCAAAGCTGCATCTATGCTTGGCATTATATGCAATTTAGATCTAGGTGATGTCGTAGTTTTTTAAAAACGTTTCTCTATAAACTTAAATTAGTTCTACAAAAATAATATTTTCAAGGTCAAAGTTAGATTATTTTGAGTTAAAGAGTATTATATTTATCAAATCCATGTGTTGACATAAATTCCATTATATTAACCGATTTATTTTACTAATTTTGAAATTTTCTTCGAAAAGAGTATGATTAAGGAAAAAATTCCTGTTCAAGTACAAATAAGAACTCGAATTCCAACGCCAACAAGCTATAAAACAGTACACRAAATTTTTCTAAACTTCTATAGTTGTTCATACTATATTTCATAGTTTTGAATCAACGCTTGTTTCAAAGTTTATTTCAAAGAATATAAAGAGTTTCTGATACTCAAGTTTGTAAATAACCGAGCTTGGCAATACATTCTCTTCCCTACACTCTAAGGTTTCTATAGTTACCGAGTGACTCCGCCAAAAAGAGTACTGGTACTGCTTGGTTGTTATGGTACTGAAGTTAGTAAAGGAAGCATTGCTTGTTCTCAAAGAGCTAGTTCACTGAGTCTTTTATTTTAGGCACAAAAAGATCATCATTAATCGGTTTTAACTGCATTATAAAAAAATTTTTTTTCAAAGTTTCTAGAACCATTACACTTGTATTTAATAGAACAATATTAAAATGTAAATCGTATTACCATAAAATTTCTTTCAAGAACTACTAGCTTACTCAACCACTTAACATTTCTTTCAATACACTTTGAGTGTAGTTTTCCCCCCTTTTGTATGTAAGTAAGTGCAGGTTTTAAAGGATTCAATTTAGCTATAAGTAGCTTTTGGTCTCCGATCCCCCTTAGAAATTCTTACTGTCGTCACGCAATCCTCGCTCCCCAGTGAGCTTTTCGTGACGACACTAAGAACGGCTTTGAGGAAGACAACTTTCATATACCATCTCTTTACCTGACTTGTAAAGCATTGTCTATAAATGATGATGCTGAAATGAAATGTATAGTATTGATGAGTTGCAAGCATTCAAAAGAGAGCCAAAAGGCAAAAACATGGCGGCTATTGTGCTAGTGAGGAATCTTTTGTTAAATGGCACTAACATGGCTGCGATGACGTAGCGTGCAATCGAAGGATAAAGGTTGTTACTTCATGAATCTCAGTACCAGCATGCCTTCAAATAAAAGACAAAAACTGCCATTATTCTCAGTCATTTGAACAAAAAAAGCGGAAGTGACGTCAGTGAAATTTTTTAAAAAGTGAAACCGTTCTTCCCTTAAATTTAGGATATAAGTTGAATTGTATTCCCAGTGTTTTTTTCTTTCTGACAATACTTAATAATAATTTTGTAATTAAGTCGCAACAAAGGTAATTAATGCTTAATGCTTGCAACATTCCCTCTCTCCACCATTAGCTGTTAATAGGCCAGGGGACCGTCATCAAATCTTGTATCTTTTGTCAAACTTCTTGTCTATGGATTCTTCGACATATATTTCATAAGATATTATGCCATAGAATTAATTGCACTTGGGTTTTTCAGTCGTGTTTATGTTTTCATACAGTGTACTCACCGGATGATCATACAAACATATAATTAACTGTGTGCATAGCCTAATATTAGTAATAGTGTTTCGGCATCTTTAGAGGTTTTTAAATGACCTCGAAACAAATCCCTTGATGATGATGGCATGATAGATAACAACATATTAATAATCAATAATGAAGTAAGATGATGATGGTGGATATTATGATGAAGATGATGTTGGAAATGGCGATGATGATGGAGATGATGACGGTGGTGATGATAGTGTTGTCTTGATGATGGTGAGGATGATGATAGTGATGATGAATTACGCTATTGATAAGTAGGTGTTTGTGAAATCAAATGATGATGATGATGATAATAATAATAATAATGATATTAATATTATTATTATTAATGATAATAATACAAGTAATCAATAGCGAACACTGAATAGATATTAATATCGATATCAAAAATGACAAGACTGATGTATGCTTGGCTGTGTTTTTGGATATAAATCATCCGGCTTTATTCGTTTTATATAATTTAATTTTATATGTTTGTTAAAAGCTATTTGTTCCTTTTTTGTAAGTTCATTGTTTACTTATTGACAGCAGCTAAATTTCTTGCTTTCTTATTTTTGAGAAATGTAGCGCATTCCTAGAATGACCGAGAATATATTCATTATAATTTATAATTTTTCTAGAAAACATTATTCAATCCCCAACTTCAAAGTGCGCAGTTCGAGTATCTGAGAGCTTGCGTCAGTGTCATAATCACCATAAGTAGCAAGTTTCCCGCATAATCGTAATACCCAACATCTACATCAATAATCATAATAAATATATATTCATATTTGTAAGTCGGTCAAGTAGGCAACTTTTTTTGTGATAAAAAATATAATTATTTCACTCAAATTTTGCTCAAATACGTGCTTTTCCCCTATTTCTATTCTCTATTTTCATTCTCGTTTTATTTCCATCCTCCCTCTCATGGGTTTCAAAGAGGTGAGTTTTTCTTTCATAACAATAACAATATGGATTAGAATCCTATCTTTGAAACCATGGCTCAGTTGTGATTGTTTTCTAGATATCAGAACAGAAATTACAATTTTCATTCAAAACAGCTTAATAAATGTTGCATATTAGATATTAGAATCTTTTCATCAAAATGGAAAATGAAAAACTGAAAATGGCGTAAATGGAAAATTGAATTTGACCCTACTAATGTGATTAAATTCATTAACAGAGACAAAAAAGAAATCCCGCGGTTTCAACCACACCTAGCTTGATTTTTAAATAAAATATCCGAAAACTAAAATCCTATATTCACGCGAAAAGCTTAATTGAAAAACAATTTTTTACAATTTTTTCATTTCCCTAATTACCGAACTAAATTCGAACTCGCATGTTTAGACCCTATATAAACATCTTGCTTTACGCAGACTAATTCTTTTTAAATTCAAGTGCTACTAAACAAAGTACGTCCTGTTTTGAATAGTAATTCGTATTTACTTGGAGTTTAAAGTAATTTTAATCCAACCTTTGATCAATAAGTAATTTCGAGTTGTTTTCGTATTTGAACAGCTTGGATATTCAACGTCTCGCAGTTTAATTGATTGCATTGGCGAACGATAGTGTTGTCATGGCAATTTCCTCCTCCTTCTACCATCAACATGGCAACCGGTAGTTCTCAAAGAGAATTTTCTATAATGAATCAAAGCTAGTCGCCCAAGTGTTGTCAAAGAGAATCAATAGACATCCCTCGTCTATCTTCTTTAATTTTTTTATTCATCCATGCGTTTGGTCTTTGTGGTTAAAACCTACCGGTTCTAGAGATCCCTTGTTTTCGAATCAAAAACTTTCATGCAGCCAAAACAATACAATTATGTTAAGTGCTATTCTAAGCTCCTCAAGTACAATTTCAAGAATCTTTTGTATCGCCGAAAAAGCAATTGGTCTCAACAATAAGATAAAATAATAATAATAATAAAACGGGTTTAACCCCCGACGGTCTGGTTTTTGTATCTAGCCTCTTCACTGGCTCTTTTTCTTTCTTCTTTGTATTAAGGCCTTGAACTAGGTATTTGAAAAGGCTTCCTATAAATAGATAGTTTGTCAGTCTTATTCTGTTAAATAATGTTGCCCGGCTTTTAAGAGATATTTTTCAAGCTATACGGTCCTCAATCTAAATACAGCCACAAGCAACACAAGATAACTATTGAAAAAGAACAAGTCATCAATGGTTCATTTTCCTTTGAAGAAAAGTACAGTCATTGATAACGTTCTGCTACTTTAAACCCATCAAATATCACTTTATCAAAGAGAAAACACACAGAATAAAAGGTTAATAGATAAGTTATACATACGCAGCATTCAAACACAAACGTGGCATATTCTTACCGACTACTTTAACATCACTTAAAGGCAGTAATAAATCAAGCTCCTCGGAGAACTTCAAAATGAAAAAGAAAAAACTATATATCACAATGAAACCCTAGAAAACAAGCATTATAATCTAGAAGATTAGCTCTAAGTGACAAAGACTTCAAATGACTGTTTTTGGAGTACTGATCTCTAATGACTGTTCATTTTTTGAATGATGTGTCTTTTACATGCGTTGAAGTATTGGGCTAAAAGGCTAGTTGTTTTATTTTTTCTTCTTCGAAATCTTCCTTGTATCGCGACCAGTATTTGGTTTTCAAACCTCATTTTGCGTTCATCGATTTGGATACTTTTTCATTTATCTATGTATCTATGAAGGACTCTTATTTTTATCTGGAAAATTCCTTATCATAGACTCTTATTTTTAACGGCTTCAGTTGAATTTGCGTTCACCCTTTTTGATATACTGAAATAGTGACGCAGTCAGTTTTGCGGGCCGCGGTTTATCTTAACAAGGTCCAAGGATCAAGGCGCAGCGATGAAAATTGTTCTCCAAAAGTACTGTTCATCCGCTGGCTTTGACGAAGATGCGAAGATGCTTTCACATATCTGATCATAATAAGATTGAAAAGCATGAGCAACAAGCCTCGGGGAATATGCAAATATGATAGTGATTTGAATGGCTTTCTTCTCGCTCCTTCCTTCCTTCCTTCCTTCCTTCCTTCCTTCCTTCCTTCCTTCCTTCCTTCCTTNTTCCTTCCTTCCTTCCTTCCTTCCTTCCTTCCTTCCTTCCTTCCTCCCTTCCGCTCCTTCCTTCACTCATTCCCTTCCCATATTCCTTATAACGTCCAACTGTCCTTCCTTCTTTCCTTACTCGTCCCTCCTAGCC